CTGCACGAGTCACCGAGTCACCGAGGAGGAGGAGGCGAGCTTCGCGCTCGGGCTGGAGCAGGGGCCGCAGGGACGGCTGGAAAAGTGAGTCCATCAGCCAGGCCCCCTGCACGGCTGCTCTGCCACCTCCACCCCGTCTCCTGGCGCTCTGAAGGCCACACTTCTGACCTGCAAAGCTGCAGTCCAGCTCCTGCGATTAGCTGCGCGCCCGTGAGCCGTGGAGGGCGAGGGGGCCGAGGCCGCCTTCCTGCCCTTTGGCGGTGGGGGGTCAGGTCCCCTCGTGGTGCGGGCCGGCAGTGGGGCAGCACCTGGGACCCCCGCACTGCAGACTCAGGGGAGCCTCGGAGCCAGTGTCCCCCTTGTGGGCAGCTCTTCAGAGTCCTGGGCGAGTCGGGGGCTGCCCCCCAGCCCTCCTGACATTTTATCAGCACCTGCCTTCCTGCGAGAAATCCTTTCTGACTGAGGCACCCACAGCAGTGTCTGTTTCCTGCAACGAATCCAGATACACAAATGAGGGTTGTGGCGTCGAAACTAACCATGACTCACCAGAAACAAGGACAGCAACTCGAAGACTGAAAAGTAGACACATCTAGGAGGGACACACAGGGAAAACCCACCTGGCAAAACCTCCACCGCCCCGTCCAGACTGGGGTTTGCCTGATAGATTGACTATCACAGTCATTCGACAAACCAAAGACATAATTGATATTACTAATAACAACAGTGCCGTCACCTACATAGCACTCCCTGTGTGCCAGGCACTATTCTAAGTATTTTAATTTTTTTTATTTTTTTGAGACAGAGTCTGGTTCTGTTGCTCAGGCTAGAGTGCTGTGGCGTCAGCCTAGCTCACAGCAACCTCAAACTCCTAGGCTCAAGCGATCCTCCTGCCTCAGCCTCCCAAGTAGCTGGGACTACAGGCATGTGCCAACATGCCTGGCTAATTTTTTCTATATATTTTTAGTTGTCCAGATAATTTCTTTCTATTTTTAGTAGAGACGGGGTCTCGCTCTTGCTCAGGCTGGTCTCGAACTCCTGAGTTCAAACGATCCTCCCGCCCCGGCCTCCCAGAGTGCCAGGATTATAGGCGTGAGCCACCGCGCCCGGCCAATTCTAAGTGTTTTAAAACTTAAACTTATCTATTCCTCAGAACCACCTCATGAGACAGGTACAACCATCACCCCCGTTTTACGGATAAGGCCGAGTGCAGCCTAAGGGACACGGCAAGGAAGCAGAGAAGCCTGACGTGCGATCTGGGCCCCGCGTCCGATCTCCGACCACCCCGTGCTGCGGCAGCCTCTAGGAACAGACGCTGTTTGTTGGGGGGCGTGCCAAGCACTTTCCAGAGTCTCTCACTTGCTCCTCACAGGAATTCCACAAGGAAGAGCTATAGCACTCCCATTTCACAGATGAGCACACTGAGATCCAGAGAGAGTCAGTGATCTGCGCAGGGTCACAGAGTTGACAAGCGGATTGTTTGCTGGACTCCAAAGCCCAGTGCTCATAACTGCCACGTTCTTGGGCCTGAACGAAAGCTCCTCAGCCACAGAAGGGCAGGAGCTGGTGCTCAGCCCTCATGCAGGGCAAAGGGAGGGGGTCTGGACAGACACAGCCGGAGCCTGGCAGAGTCTTCAGCTCCTTCCGACATCTCACCTCCTCGCCCCACCCAGACACGGCCCGTGACCCCCGCGGGCTCGGAGGCTCCTTCGGGTGGCTGCTGCTCTCCTCTCCGTCCCTAAAGTGCAGGCGCCTTCCTGAGTCTGCCCCGCCAGCCACACGCACTGTGGCCACGGCGCTGTCACTGCAGGGAGGACAGCCCGTCCTCTCCTTCTGCCCTCTAAGGAGTCATTCTGGTCACTCTCCGATGTTCTAGAAAGTTTATCCTTTTTCCCTTGGCCTCACTCGACCATCGAGACAAACGATACGAGCTGTACCCCCTTCTGAGCTAAAGGTTCCCACACAGTAGTCCCGTTCTGACTCAGCGTCTTTGCCCCCAGAGCCGCAAGCCCAGGGTCTGGCCCTCGGCAAGTGCTCAGAAAGACAGTCCCGAATCCATGGACGGCTGTTCCGCTGCCCTCACACCTGCGGAACCCGCCCTCCCCTCCCGTTCTCTTGCATCCCGGACGTGCCTCAAGGGCTCATTTGGCAGAACTGCTCCCGTTGCCTGCGCCCCGACAAGCTCACTCTGGTTTCGGCTAGAGCCTCTGCTCGGCTCGACTCCACGCAGTAGCTGATCCTGACTCGAGTCCTCACCCGTCCTGGAGGGAACTGTACGCTCTTCTCACAAACCCTCTCCCACTCCGTGGAGTGAAGAAGCAACTTCACCCGAAGAGAGGTCTGGCCTTTGTCCTGGCTCTTGGGAGGTCCAACCGGCTACCAACCTTCGGAATAAAGAATTTGGCTAGTCTTTGCCACCAGTTCCTAGGAGGTAGCCCCCAAATCCTTGGGATTTCCCAAGTAGCAGGAGAATCCTTGCTATTCGTGGTGGGCCCTGATAGTTCATGCCAGTGAAGTGATTCATGGTGGGCGGGGCGCCTGGACAGCTTTTGCTAACAGGATGGCCCAGGATGGGGGTGGCCATGCCCCTGAGTTACTGTGACATGAGCCTGGCCTCCAGGAAGCGGGTTTGGAAGAAGAGTTCAACTGAGTGACCAATCAACTGTGCCTACTAAACACCGAAGCTCAGGGGGTTTCCCTGGTTTCCCTGGTTTGAGAGGGTGATGCACAGGGACAGGACCATGGAGGGCCCTGAAGTGTGTCTGGGATCCTCCTACATTTGACCCTCCGTGTCTCCTCTTTGGCAGTTCAGATTTGCATGCTTTTGCTATAATAACACTGTGACTGTCTGTATAGTACGTTCCTGAGTTCTGTGAGTCATCTGAGTGAACTGCTGAACCTGAGAGGGTAGCGGAAACTCCCAAATTTGTAGCCAGTGGCTAGAAGCGATGACGGGACCACTGAAACCGCAGCTGGCGTCTGCAGCGAGGGCCGTCTGGCGGGAGACTGCGCCCTTCACCCGTGAGGTCGGGCTCTGCTCCAGCCGTTTGGTGTCAGAAATCGCTACGCTGGGTCTGGCAGCCCCACTGCACAGGCCCAGCGGAAGGATCGTAAATCCAGTCCAAGGACCCTCCCGATACGATTATCCAGATTCTCACCGTCAGAGTTTGAGGCGCTGTCATGAGATCCAAAGCTATATGTACACAACGGAATACTACGCAGCCTTAAAAAAGAAGGAACTCGTGTCACTTGCAACAGCATCGACGGACCTGGGAGACATCATGCTAAGTGAGAACAGCCAGGCTGCACTGTCTCACTCACGTGTGGCATCCTCGAAAGTCCGACTCACAGGGGCAGACGGCAGCATGCTGGTCGCCAGGGGCTGTGAGGTGGGGTTGGGGGACGTTGGTCAAAGCACACGGAACGTCACTTAGATGGGAGGAAGAAGCGCAAGAGGCCTATTGCACCACGCGGTCACTATAGTTGGTAACAATGTATCGTACACTCAAAGCTCACTAAGAGTGGATTTTAAGTGTTCTCATCACAAATAAATGGTAAGTATGTGAGGTACTATATACGTTAATTAGCTTGATTTAGCGATTCCACCGTGTATATATGCTTCAAAATATGTCATATGCCATAAATATGCATAATTTTTATTCACCAATTATAAGGATAAAAAGATAGACCAAAACAGCGAACCACTTTAGCAACAAACAGTCCCAGATGATCTTCCAGAGGAAATCAGTAGGGAGAAGAGGTCAGAACCAAGGGAGGGTCCAGGGGAGGAGAGGCAGTGGGCACGCCAGGGCCCTCCCTGGAGGGCGGTAGGCTTGTGCGCAGGGCCTGGCGTCTGAGTGCAGGGGGTCCCTACGTCCATTGCTGGGGTGAGGCAAGGAGCCCCTCACCAGGTCACATGCACCAAGGAAAGCCCAGGGTGGGGGGCAGGGCATTGACAAGAGAACTGGTTTATGAATTGGTAAGACTGTGGCTCTTTTTCCTAATTAGCCGAGGATACGTTTGGGTTGTATTTTTTTTTTTTTGAGACAGAGTCTTGCTTTGTTGCCGGGGCTGGAGTGCCGTGGCGTCATCACAGTTCACTGTAACCTCAAACTCCTGGGCTCAAGCAATTGGCTACAGGCGCACATGACCACACTGGGCTAATTTTTCTATTTTTCAGAAACATAGGGTCTCGCTCTTGCTCAGGCTGGTCTGGAACTCCTGGTCTCAAGCGATCCTCCCGCCTCAGCCTCCCGGAGTGCTAGGATTACAGGGTGAGCCACCGCGCCCAGCCTTAGGTTCCATTTTAAAAAGTGGTCATTGCTAGAGGGCCGTTGGCACAATGGATAAAAAGTGGTCATTCCTGAAACCCCAGCAGAGACACGCCTGGCCCAGGGCCTCCTAGGTAAAGGGTAAAGACCATACGAACCTGAGGGGACCCCAACTAGACCCGACCTGATGTCATCTCTTTCCCCAGAGACCTCAACTGGGAAGAACGTCATGTCCCAGTGTCAGGACAGGAGACGGTCTGTGCCCGTTGTTCTCCTCTCCACGACAGAAGAGGTTCTGAGATGCCACCCGTTACTTGGAAGAAGCCAGGTTAAAATACTATTCAAGTCGAACTTTCTTGATATTACTCTCTCTTTCCCCAGGAGGCCTGCACTAGAACAAATTCGGACACCTGAGGCCTCTTCCTTCTGTGCAAAGCAAAAAGCCAGCAGCAACCCCCAAGCTGATAAGATAAATCTGAAGAGCAAATTATGGTGTAATTTCCTATGCTGAAACTTTGTAGTTAATTTTAAAAAAAGGTTTCATTTTCCTATTGGTCTGATCTCACAGGAACATTTTACCTGTTTCTGTGAGGCATTTGTTCTCCTGGAAGAGAGGTGCTGATTGGCCCCAAACGACTGACAATCTGGTGTAATGAAAATTTCCAATGTAAACTCATTTTCCCTTGGTTTCAGCAATTTTAAATCTATATATAGAGATATCTTTGTCAGAATTGCATTGTTAGCTTCTCCTGATAAACTAATTGTCTCAGATTGTCATTGCAAACAGAGATCTATTAATGGGTCTCACCTCCCCACTGATCCCTCCTCTGTTCTGCCTGCTAGCATGTGCCGGCAGCTTCGTCCACGGACACAGATGCGGTGTCATCTTAACAGAGAGCATCAAAACTCTGAACGTCCTCACCGAGAGCAAGGTGAGTACCTATCTGGCACCATCTCTCCAGATGTTCTGGGGATACTGAGGGCTTTTCTAGACCATGAGAAGAACATCAGGGCTGCTGGAGAAGTTGAAGTTGGAATCAGTAGCTGGCATCAGCGCAGCGAGACTTCTCCCCGACACTCCTTCTGGAGGGAGCGTAGGAAGTTTTCTCAGCGGGAGGGAGTGAGAGACACTCGTCGAGGATTTGCATGTCCAGCGGGCGGTTAACTCTGTCTCTTCTCTCTCGTTCCCGCCTGGGCCCAGACTCCGTGCGCCGACTTGACGGTAGCAGACGTCTTCGCTGCCCCCAAGGTAAGAAGCCTCCCGTGGTCCGCTGGGCGGGCGGGTGACTCGGGGAGCAGCGCCATCCACAAGTGGGGGCAGGTGTAACTTGTTTAGTGGAGAACGAGCCGCACAAATTGACTGTAATACGTTAAATGTTTTCGAAGGATGAGAATTCTGATCTTTGCTCTTAAGCATGATGTGATGTTTCTGGTTTCACCTGAGTTAGAAGATGGGTAGTAGAAAGCTCAGATTTTCTAATTCTAATTCAGATCCTGGGCAAAGAAAAGCTCTCCAGGGTTTTGCCCAGCGCTCGGCATAGCACCTGGAACATAGGAGATGTTCGATAGATGCCTGTGGAATGAGAGCTTTTCTGGCCCATACATTTCTGAAAAACCAGATGCTCTCACAAAAGCAGATATTGAGATTACAGGTTGAAGGAGCTTTCATTTTGTCTAAGAGACTTCCTATGGCAACAGAAAAGGCATCGCCAGAGCCCCTCCTCTCCCACAGCCTGGTCACCGAACCGCCCCCTGGCTTCCAGGGCCAGTGGTCCGGAAACCCTCAGCTTGCTCTGTCCTGCCCAACTCCCCTCCAGCTGGGCCCAGAACGGCCTCGCGGGACAGCACCCGACACGCCCCCCTGGGCTGCTGGGCATCTGTCTTTCTGCTCCTGTGCGTCTCACCCCCGCCCTCCATCTGCAGTGGGAGGAGATAGATTTGACAGCTGATAGTACGTTTTCTCTGACAAACACATGATACAGCGTATCGATAGCTTTGTGCACTGCAGTTCCTGTTTTCATGGAAACACACAACTGAGAATGAAAGCCCCAAAGCCTCAATTTACCAGTGGTCTCCTAACTACCTGCTTTCCACCTGAACTAGAGGGGACGCCTTGGCCAGGAGCGAAGCCCTGAGGGTCGGGCAGGGTCGCGCTCCGGTAGCCCGGCCACAGAACGGGCCCTTCCTACTCCATGGGGAAAACTGCTCTTCAGGCTGCTCTTTATCTCATTTCATTAAAGATTATCCCAGGAGCCTGACACAGGAAGAGACCCTGAAGGACAAATACATGCACACACACGTGCACACACACGCATACACAATTTATATATATACACAAAATCTCCAAGTCCTCCCAACCCAGGACTCCAGCCAGGAGTCCCTGGGCTGCTCTGGGCTCCAGGTTGCTGCTCTGCTGAGAGGCTCTACCAAAGCCGAGGGAAGGGGCCAGCTCACCAGGACCCGGCCCTGGAGGAAGCGCCAGGGCTGGAAGTGGGACTGCGTCTGGTTTCAGCCCCAGTTCCGCCGTTGCCTAGCTGTGGCCTTTGGTGAGTCTTCACACCCCTTTGCCTCTCAGTTTCCACACTGGAAGATCTGAAAGTGATTAGAAGGTGATTTGGAGGATGATTGGAATCCAGCTCTTGCGTCAGTGGAAAGTGTTACTGTCAGATGTCACAACGCTGATCAAAAGCCCACACTAGAAGGAGGTCTGCCCCTCACGGGAGTGTCCGGAAGGGGCTACCTGGGAGATTTCTTCTGTGGCAGTGACCCTGTTAGAGTTCCAACTGGCTCTTGACCAGCCTCATTTAGGACCATGACAATCCAGCCCTACTGGCCTTGTCCCAGTGCTGACTCCCTGCCTTTAGAATGAGTTCTTTTAAAGTTTTTCCATTTGATGCCAGCTCTTTTCAATTCCTATTTTGTCCTAATTACCTTTAGAAAGTCCTTTGACTAATATCTTTAGATGGCTTTTTCCTATATTATGTGGCCATACACTGGTCAAACCTAACAGGCAGTCTAATTCCTATGCTCCAACCGAAAGCTTCAGAAAGTCTCACTAGGTTTTGGTGGGAAAATAAGCAAAGGGGCTCTTCTTTGGACCTTCTTGAATCTCACTGTTCTCTCTGCAGCATCCTGGTGTCTGCCCACCTCTGACATAGGGGTGTCTGCGGCCTCCTCACCACCCCTTGTCCTCCCCACCTGGACTCGTCCCCAGAGCCCAGAGGGGTGCGGTGATTGGTGGGAGGTTTCTTGACTCCCAGAGCCCAGAGATACCGACACGGCTCTTAAATTTCCAACTGAAATCAGGGACCACGAGTGACTCTCAGCAGTTCATTAAGTGAATGTCCTTCCACCAGCCCTGCCCTTGGGACATCAAGCCCCGCAGGGGGAAGGGGGAAGTTCCTGTGGTCTGGGGTTCCGGTGCCTCAGTCTAGATCTTCCCAGAAAAACCTTAAAATAGGAAGTGCCCTTCTAGAACTTAGCCTGCGTAAATAAGAGATGAACACAAAGACTTACACAGATTACTCACAGCCACATTATTTACAGAAGCAAAAAACGACGACCACAGGGCATTGATAATCATGGCGCAGCTATGCAGTGGGTTTCTACGCAGCTCGCAATCCCGTGTTCATAAATACCATTGAATGACTTAAGAAAATGCTTATTGTGTACGTTAAGTGTGAAAGGGTTACAAACGGTATTAACAGTTGATGCCAATTTTGAAAAAAAAAAGTATTAAGAAAACATGGGAAGATGTTTACTAAAATATTAACTGTAGTTATCTCTGACTGGTGGGATGAGTGGATTCATTTTTGTTGACTACATATTACCTTTATAGCAAACACATATTACCTTGATTATCAGAAAAAATATGTAACTGTTAAGAACTTTAAAGCTCCACAGTGTGTCTCACATAAGCCCCCCGGGATCTCGTCACTGCACGTTCTGGTTCAGCAGGTCCGGGGTGCAGCCTGCGAGTCTCCTTCCTAACAAGCCCCCAGGTGATGTCCGGGCTGCTGGGCCTGGATGCTTAGAGTAGCAAGGGACTAGCGTGTCCGGGCCAAGGCCAGAGAGAGCTTTCTTCATCTGAACTGCATAAGGAAGTGGCTCAAGCTGGGACCGCTCTCCAGGCTCTGTGCCTTTGTTCTCAGTGGAAAACGGGGGGGACGCACCAGGCCTGGTTCCCAAGAAGAGTTGTCTCCCCACTTGTGCATTCCCTCTTCGAAGCCAGCGTTCCTAGAAGGAGCCACGTGGCCAGGCCACAGCAGAGCGGCGAGCATCCCAAGGAGGCCCTGACCAGGCACCACTTGAGGCCAAAGGGCCTCGCCAAGGCCCAGCGCAACGGCACCCTGTCCCAGAAGCCTCCCTGATCTCCCCAGGCCAGACTCCTGGAGCACCTGCCCCTGACCTGGGCACTTACCTCTGCTGTATGGGGACACGCCTTACCTTCTCGCGTGGACCGTGAGCCTCTACACACGCTGCCATCTCCCACGGGGAGGGCCGAGCGGGGAGTGCCGCCCACAGCAGCAGTGTTCAGGCCACAGGATGCGGGAGTTCCAGGGAAACCTGGACTTTAAAACCTTGTAGGAATGAAGCAGAATCCGAGTAAGCTCACGTGGGCACTTTCCATGAGAGAATAGCTCACACGGAATAAAGACAAAGACCCGGGTGTAGGGACGGATGTCCCGCGTGTCCCCACTCTGCCACTTACCTGGCGGGGCAGCTTTATTCAGGCCCCTCTCAGCACAGCCCTCCAGGGGGAGGAAACGGGGAGCTCTGGGGAGAAGCTGCCGCATTTGCAGGGAATTGGGAGTTGTGCGTAGGGGTCTGTGACAGTGACCGGCACCCTTGGTTCTGTGGGAGACTCGAGCAAACTCACCTTCTCCGTTTGTCCTCCTGGAAGGAAGGAATCAGGTGGAAAAATCTCCCTCCTGTGTCTGAAGTGAGCGAGCACACGGCTGTCTGTGGCATTTCTCTTTCCAGAACACCAGTGAGAAGGAAACCTTCTGCAGGGCGGCGACCGCGCTCCGGCGATTCTACAGCCAGCGCCAGGACGGAGTCTGCGGGGGCGCGGCTGCCTTGCCGCGGCTCCACAGCCACCCGCACGTGATCAAGCTCCTGAAAGGACTGGACAGGAACCTCTGCAGCATGGCACACGCGGTAAGCTGCGCCGCACTCCTGGTGAGCCGGCAGCTTGTCCTCACACGCGGCAGCCTCGCTTCTAACCGCTCCTCCTTGGCGGGCGCGGCGGCTCACACCTGTAATCCAGCAATCCAGCATTTCGGGAGGCTGAGGTGGGAGGATCGCTTGAGGCCAGGATTTGGAGGCTGCAGTGAGCTGTGATCACACACGACACTCCAGCCTGGGTGACAGAGTGAGACCTTGTCTCTTAAGAAAAAAAAAAAATTTCTCCTTATGAGTCACGGTACTCTTGATTAATCAACCCATTCATCTAACGAGTACTCGCTGAAGCTCTGCAAGTGCCAAGCACCATTCCAGGCACTGGAAGTGCAGCGTTAGAGACAAGCAGGCAGAGTGGAATGCTCTCGTGGAACGTTCCACTGGGGGAGGTAGAAAAAAACACGTGTAATCCGATGTCCAGTAGTAGTAAGTGCTATGGAGAAAAATACAGGAATAAAGAACCTAAAGGTCACAGGGGAGGGGGCTGACTTAGGAGTTGGTGATGTTATCTGAGCAGATATTTGAATTAAGAGAGGGAGAAGCCCGTGACCAACTGGGGAAAGAATATTCCAGGCAGAAGGAACAGCTGTGCCAAGGCCCTGAGGTAGAAACAAGCTTCATGGGCTCACAGCACAGCAGGAAGGCCCGTGGGGCTGGATCAGAGTGGGCAGAGGGGACTGTCCCAGGAGATCGGCTCACACGAGGCTTTTGGACTCAGCTCCAAGCATGGTGGGAAACACCTGCAGAGCTTTGAACAAGGCCAAGACTAGGGCCTGATGTCTGTGATTTAAAATGACCACTCTGGCTACTGCCTGGTTAACGGACGGGACAGAAGCACAGAAGCAAGATGTCCTGCTGGGAGGTGCCCACCGCAAACCAGGCTGGGGATGACGGTGGCTTGGACAGGGTGGAAGCAGTGGAGGTGGTTAGATCTGGGATATAACTAGAAACAGAGACAGAAGGATTTGTTGACAGACTGGTCATGAGGGTGAGAGACGGAGGAGCAGAAGGTGACCTCTTGGGGATGGTCGGTGCTGTTTACAGAGACATGGAAGACCGGGGACAGAGCAGGGCTGGAGGTTGCGCAGAGGATCCAGGTTCGATTTTGTCTGTAGTGAGTGTGAGGTGCCTGTTGGATAGCCAAGTGGAGATGCTGAGAAGATGCTAGAAAAGTCTGGATCTTAGGGGAGAGGTCAGAACTCGCAGCAGAGAATGGAGAGTCCTCAGACAGATGCTATTTAAAGCCTGAATGACAGAGACAGGGAGAGACCCAAGGCCTGAGCCTAGAGGCCTCCAACGTAGGCACGTCAGGAAGAGGAGGGTCAGGAAAGGAGGCTGAGAAGTGGCAGCCAGGGAAGTCGCACAGCACTGGGGAGTGTGGCCCAGAAGGCAGGTGAAGAAGCTCTTCCAGGAGGAAGCGATCACCCGTGTGGAACGTCCTGCAAGGTCAGGTGAGACGAAGACTGAGAAGGGACACTGGGCTCAGCATGACGGAGGTCGTGGGCGATGCTGGTGTCAAGGGGGCTGGGAAGGAAGCCGACTGCAGCGCTCACTAGAGGACGGGGAGGGGACAGGGGAACAGAAGGGACAGCGAGTGTAGGAAACTCTCTCGAGGTGTTCTGCTGCAAGACTGTAGGGAAACAGAGCAGCCGAAGGGCAGGTATGGCACGAGGGACGCGCTTTTCGGGTGGGCGCACACTCGGCACGTTAGTGGCCGACGGGAACGATCCGGTGGAGAAGGGAGAACCAACGACACGGCAGAGAGGGAGAATAATCAGAGGGCGGACGTCCCTGCAGCCAGGCGACGTTGTCTAATCCTGGGTGGAGAGCAAGGCCTCTGCCCTGTCCTGGGCCTGCTGCCTTACTCACGAGGCAAGAATAGGGCCTGACACGACATACATTCTCCTCATTAGTTCTCTCATGTCATGAAGTGGGCAAGGAGGCAAACGATCGCCCCCACTTACAAAAGAAGCAATTGAAGCTTTTATAAATTAAGGAGTTCATTCCAAACAACGCAATTAATGAGCAGCACGCTGAGATTCAAACCGAAGCAGCGCCTGCTGGTAGGTGTCTGGACTGTGTCCCACCGTTAGGGCCACTGGGCTGTGGCGCTGCCGTTTAACGGGCAGGTCTGAGCCTGCGCAGCCACGTCCCTCCCTCTGAGCAGCACCTGGCTGGGACCAGAGACTGCGGCAAGCCCTGAAGGCAGACAGGCAATGGTGGTGCAGTGACCATTTCTAGAAGCGTAAGTGGCATGTACCCAAAACAGGCACATCCTGCTGGCCTCGTGGCAGCATCAGACTCCTCAGCAAGCTGGACTGGAGGCCCTGGTTTGACAGTCGTTCGGGTGGCAGGTGCCGGAGTGGGCTTGCTCGGGTAGACGGGCGTGACAGCAAAACTCAAACGCTGACCCGTGTAAGCTAATGAAATGTTTCTTTTCTAGAGCCACTGTCCTGTGAGTGAAGCCAAGCAGAGTACACTGAGAGACTTCTTGGAAAGGCTAAAGACGATCTTGAAAGAGAAATATTCAAAGTGTCGGAGCTGAATATTTTAATTTATGAGTTTTTAATAGCGTT